TCCCCGGTCTTATTGACTTTGTCTTTACACCGGATACAGAGGTGGGAGTGGCGAGCAAGTGGGTAGCTTCTGCGCGAGTCTGCCTAAACTCCTGTCTACTCTCGCGCTAGTTCTCTGTGTTGCTCTTGCTTGCTGTAGCCTTCATGTCGCTTCCCCAGCTCGCGTTACTGTCTGTTGCCGGCTTGCTTCAGCGTTTGCTGCGGCTGTTGGAGCACGCGGTGCCCATCGTCACGGCTTGCTTGCGTCTGCTGCGGCTGTTGGAGCACGCGGTGCCCATCGTCGAAATCGACGGGAGAACTGTCGTTGTCGTCGTCGTGTACCTATTTATGCTGTGTAACAAAAGTTCAACACATAACAATGAAGTCGATTACGTCTTTAACAGTTAGAGGAACCGTTTGTTATTCTGAAACACAGGCACACAACAAATCCAATATATCTCCAAAACTCTTGGTTATGATATTCTGTTTAACGTACAAAACTCCGCCTATAATACTTAGATTGCAAAAAAGCATCCTCCTAGATAAAGTATGTAAGGAGTACCGACTGCAATACATCATAAATCACCGGGCTTTGAGTGGCGTTGTTTGCTATCAATACAATCAAGTATAGTTTATTTAGAAGTAAATAATAGTATGCCTGAAGGAAATCACCCAAAGTGCCTTTCTTCTAACTAAACAGACCCCAGCAGTTATAAGAAAGACAAGAAGAGGAATCCAAAGTTTGGGCTTTTACCAAAAACTCATAGATCAAGAATAGCAATTATGATTTCTCAGGACTTTATTGCGAGAGAAGGTTTTTAAAGTTTACCCACCACTTTTTAGGATCAAAACACTTTGCAAGGAAATGAAGTGTTAGAAGGAAGTGCTCAGCAATAGCATTGGTGGCCACTTGACTGGTGAAGATAGGTTGACCGTCGGGTTCGACGATGTCAACCACGTGCGTTAACAGCAGGCTGAAAGGAACTATGATGACTTGCGCGTGAATTAGTTCTCCAGATTTATAGACTTGCGCTGCATCTACCTTTCCTTCTCTTCTATCAACCCTATCAAGCCCAATATCAGGACAGACTCAAGAAGACATGGCGCGCGGGATTGGACGTAGGCGGCTGGTACGGTGAATTTTGCAACCAAGCATACCACAGCGCTCCCTGATATATAACAAACGTTTGAGCATGAATTTAACAAAACTAGGGCATAGAAGCAGTGATATGGATCGCAGCTCATACATCCTGGTTCTTCGGGCCATTACACCCATCATATACCACCCAGTCACGGCCTACACTTGAGCAGGATTTGTACAAAAAAGAGGATAAGAGCAGTGGTACGGATCCAACGTCCAGCAACCTCGACCTGCGTACCACTGCACACCATCCGGTCACAGGCTACCTTTGTTCAGGATAGCAAAGGTCAAACATAATATTCAAATAATCGAAAGAGGATCATAACACCACTCCCTGTTTAATTAATTTATTTGTATATTATCCAACAGATCTTACTTTTGTTAGGTCGTTTAACCTTTCTTTACAGGAAGTAAGCAATATTCGAATTGATGTATGCATAAAACAATCGTTTTGATAAGTCATTTGTAATCATCCGCTTCATTTAGCGTCAGGCAACGCCTCTGGAAATTCAACGTCATCTAAACAAATTATAGTCCACATTACTATTTGCAAGCAAGACTGTTTGTAAAAAAATTAAAATAGAAACATTGCTGAAAAAAAGATTTTCGGAAAATCGATTTGTACTCGTGAATTTTCGAAAACGCATCACGTGCTCGTCGTCAGACTAAATGAAAAGTGAGGGCTGGGAATGTCGCACTAGAGGTTTAGGGGGCAGAGGTTACAACGGAGGGGGGGGAACTGGGTGGGAGGGTTATGGTGGCTAGCTTCCCGCGGCGGTAGGTTGTGCTGGTGACGGCTTCAAAACCCAAAACACTCACATTTTTATAATTAGTATCTACCTTCAAAATACAAGTCTAGGCTCTACTTTATCAGTTTTCGTTGTGGCAAAGGAGGTAGTTCTATTAAAAAGTAAAACAAACTGCGAACTTAAGCCTAATGTTATATTTATGGCGCAAGTGGAATTCCATTCGTTCTTTCCTTTTTTTATTTATGTGACCTCAACCCCAACGTCGCCAGCTGAAGCGTGCTAAATTAATTTTCTCTCGAAAAACGCCAGTTGGCATACGTAAAATGTTCCACAGGTGTTGCAGCAATCACATATGTAACTACCTTGCCATCGTCATTAATGCAGTGCTGTCGAGCATATATGTATAATAATGAGCAGTGGTGGTGCTTAATTTCGCACTCGTTCATCAAATCATACAGGACATATAGCCTGCCGAAAACTCTTCAAAGGCAGAAAAGAACTATAAAAATGGGCCACAGGAGATAGCCAGATTTGTGCCTTCCAGATTGACCTTTCAAGCAAGAGAAAAACGGTCATGTTTAAGAAATAAAAGTGCTCTTTGGAGAGCTGGGTAGTCAGCATGATTCAAATAACAATGGTTGATGCGTTTTATTTTTAAGTAACAGAATGTAAGTAATTTTGAGGTAAACAGTGTCACTAAAGGGAAAGTTAATTCTCATCATATCTGCTACTACTATCTGACTATGTCTCTGATGACGAATCCGCGACGGACCTCGAACCGTCAGGCGAAGTACAGTATTGTCCCAGTGATCGAGTTGTCTTCGTCTTACTTATTAGTCAATTATAAAACTGGATCGTCTAGGCCCGGCTATTGTCTTCACAAGAATGCTAATAGACAATTTAGTGACTGATATGAGTACTTAAGGACCTAAGCAAAACAAGACTGAGTAATGTTGACCATTCCAACTACGTCAAAATACGTGTACCGGGATCATAAAACCTGGCATGGGGTTCGTGATCTGTGCATATGAACAAAAAAGGGGGGTTATTTTTTTACTCCCGATCTTATTGGAGCAGAGTTCATTTATTTTTAAAAGAGCCAGAGGGCAAGGATTAGCATGATCTCATTAAATCGCAGTCTGCATGATGTCTGCTGAAATCCAAAGACGACAGCAACTCAAGATTAGCAGTACCCACAATAACACCGAATGTCAGGAATTCGAAGGCCCACTTTGCATACAAACAAGTCGGTCAATCATGCCTTTTAGGATTATTCAGCTAAATTGCTTTATTTGATCCATGCGAGATTTGCTTTAAGTGTTTCAGATTGACATAATGCTTTGAAGTAGTAGAAAATGTAATCAACCCAGAGTCGAAAGACAAGAGATTTTGTCTGCCGATTCGCACGTCCAATTTCACAGGAGATGCACTGACCTAAAAATTGCACTTTCCTTTTAAAGAATGCGAAAGATGCGCGTTCTAAACGGGAACCTTCTACAGAACCTACTTTTTAATGTAGCACAAGAGATGGTATGCAAAAAACGTAATTAATGGCCTTGAGATCACCTCCGGTGCCATGAACTGTGGACATGATTATGGCAGCACCTAGGCAGACAGTGCATGAAACAGTGACTTTAGTCGAATATGTTGACTAAAAAATTGGAAACAAGGAAAATATGGTCGAGATCCTGACAGAACTGAATTACACGGCTCCATCTATCTGGCTTAACTTGGAACAGCGACTGAAGGGTAGGTTTCATTCTAAGATGTGAGAATGAACAGCTGACCCCTCAAAGGCATCCATAAGGAGTCGTACAAAAAGAAAACTTGGATGGATATAACAGTGAGTTTTATGTTTAGGTCACACTGAGATAGCTGTTAAACTTGTTTCGAACTTTATTGGACAGATCTCGGTTAGTATCGTTAAGGGATACATAAGAAAACGATTCCGTTTTCTTGAGCCATTTCTAAGAGGACAGTGAATTCAGTTAGATACAAATATGCACCTGAATACCAAAACTCATAGTAAAAAATCTGAAAAGAATTACCCAGAGGTCATTCATTCGTTTCAGTGCTACTTGACATCGTTGTTCGTCGATTTTGCTAAATGTGTAATCTTTGACTGAACATATGAGGCTGTTGTTAGCAGAAAATGGTTCTTCTGATTCCTGTGGGCAAGCATCTTTTCACTAGGACTCCTGAATGCCGTCTAGAATAATTTTTGTTCACGGTTAGATCAGGTTTCTCATGAGTGGCACACAAGCTACCATGCGGACATCAAATAAGGTAACAGCAAATCACTGTAAGTTACTGCGTCAGCACGTATTTTGATGGCGGAGGCGGTCTCCATATGTCAATATAATCCCGTCATAGGCTTTAAGCGGCTTCTATTTGAAGTATGCTTTTTCAGTGGCCAACACCCAGTGCATCCGCATCGTTAGCTTTTACGACATACCTGATGGGCAGTTCCCCAGGGTTATCCCAGTCTCTACAGTGTGGCTGCTAGTAGACTTCACCCGATCGTCCGCATCAGGGCCCGACGAAGGAAACCACCGCCTTTTGCATCGCCATTTGCTCCTACATTATCCGTCATGTAGGCAAACACTCACGAGCTTACTCTGTCTCTCGTGCCTTATTTCTGCCTCCCTTCCCTAGTGAAAAACCATATCCCCCAAGAAAGACTGTTCAAAAGCGAAAGATAACTATCTATCTTGCTTTCTTATTTAACAGGGATAATTTTAAAACCAAATTCAGCTGACGTACAGTACAGGACTGTCATAAAAAGGATAAAATTCCTGTACATCTGGACGCACAATCTTCAAAAAAGTACTTTGCACTCGTCTTTTTGTCATAAAATTAGCTAATCTGTTTGACCTTAGAAAAAATGCTTAAATGTATGTTTTTAGGACATGCGTTAGACTTTCAGAAGCCCTATCCAAAGTATATGGCAATGTTTACACTCCAGACACGAGTAAGTTCAACACAGTATAGAATACGTAGCCATAATATTTTTGGAGACAAATGGGATTTGACGCAATATGTTACATCACTAAGAGCCTTTGCCTATGCATTTCTAATGGAATGGGGTTTTCGAAAAATGTATCTGCACTTTGGCATATGCTAAAGAATGGTTGAATTTTGGATTTTTATCTTGAAAAGTAATACTGGCGCAAGCTGCTATGGTCACGGGCTGAAAAAGAAGGCAGAGGTTTGCAGTTATGCTCTATGTAAATCTACATAAAAGTTAGTCAAACGATTTGAAAATGTGTTGTCTGTCCTAAGGAAAGGCAAACTGGGTAAGCCCTATACACGATGTTGCGTGAAAAGCAAAGGCTCAATTAGCAAAGGATCGAAGGTATTACAAGTGCCTCGAACATTTAAAAGTACCTCTGTAACACGAAGTGATTTTTAAAGAAATCACGAAGGCCGTATTGCTAGTAGCAGTCGACGCAATATACTGTGCTTTCTCGAATCAAATTTAGCAAAATATATAAGAAAGACTATTAGAAGCCGAAATAAAATATAAATATTTCATTTTGGAATACGCAAACGTGGCTCGACTTGCACTTTTGTACTTCCGCGCTTCTAATTTATAACACTTATAAAACCGTCCGGGATCCTTCTACAAAACACAATCCCATTAAAATAGGAGATTATAATGATTCTTTCAGATAAGTTTATGTCCTCATAACTGTGGAATCGTTGATAAATATGTCAAATAATTTGTTATCTGCTTTGTTGCTTATGTTAAGTGATTATATTTTGATACTTATTTATGCAAATAAAGTCGTTGCTATTGAAGAACACCATTGTTGTTGTCAGCAAACTAATGTGCATAGTCCTTATAAGCATTAGTACAAAGTTTTTCCTTGCGTTCAGAAAACGGACGTCATATATCACTGTATTTCGAAAAGCATCTTAAGTATATTTATCATACACTGTAACTCAAGTAAACCTCTATTGCGCAATTTAGACACCCATTATCTCCCCAAAAATAGTATGTATGTTTAGAATCATACGAGCGTTGCCGGATCTTACATAATTTGAATTTGCTGAAGAATGTTTAGTAGTAGGCACAATATACTTAAACAATTCTTTAGATAAACGTAAAAGTTCGCAAGAAATGTGTTTATTTGAAGAGATACGCGTCCTAATGCGCCAGCTGTATGGGTAATCGTTAAAGCTTTGGGCGATCAGCCATACTCTCGAGTTATAACTGAATCTTATTAGGTTGGTTTAGACAAATAGTGTTTAAAAATGATTTTGGAAAGCAACCAAGTTTTTTTGTACCTTATAGATAGCCAGAGAACGTTACCTATTAAATCGCACGTAAACGAATGTCCAGTTAACGTTTTTGGATTCCACTAACGCAAAAAAGCGTACGTTCACCATGCCTGGCTTATTGACTTTCTAAATTCAGCACTTAAAATAGGACCGTTTGTAGCAGTTTTTCTTGTAGTGGCTGTTAATCAACGTCCTGAAGAAGCAAAGTAGGTAAAAGTAGATAAAGTTAACAGATCTTTTTTTCGGTCACATTTGTATTATGAAAATCATGGATCCTCTGTTATGCTATCACTGGTCAATAAGCAGACCCGATAACCTTGCAGCTTCCAGAAATATGTGTTTAACTGTTTGATGTAAAGCAGCGAAAGAAAGGAAAACACTTTAAAAAGCGCATACGTTTCATTAAAAAAGGCTGCGTTTTTACGGAAATGTTTCAATACGAACAATGAGTAAGGCATATTGTAGTTCAGTTCAAGGATGAAAGCGCAGATATAAATGGAAGTTCTTTCAGAAAATCGGATAATGCTTGCATATAGTGGATAATATAACACAATGTAAGGTTCTTCGGTGAGAAAGCTCGCCTTGTTGTCCTCTAGTTGAAAGGACGACAAACCGGGTCTTGGTTAGCGGCAGGTGGCGCAGGTGATTTGACCTTCGAGTTCGGCAAACCGCTCACCTTGGAGACTCTTTTTGCACTTTGCGCAAGTGAAACACTCTGCGTGGTAGCATTTATTTTTGTACGAGGAATATGGTGTTTTCAAAGCGATGGGTTTATCGCATTTCTAAAAAAATAAAAGTTGCTTTTATTGAGGAAATATTAATAGATGCGAAGGTGTTGACTAGTTGGTAACAGCTCCACCGCACGAAAAAAAACCCGACGGACGGACCCCAGAATCACCTCCGTCACCCGCAGGTAGTAGTACGAATTGGTTAGCCCCCTGGCCCCCACGTCCCCTGGACTGATGGCAGCTGCAAACAGACGAAGAGCAAACACCCAGAAGGCGACTGCTACCTGTCACTAACCGCCCTGGGCCCTAACTCCCACAAACCAACCTCCCTCCCGCAAAATTCACAACTCTGTTTGTCACCTTTCTATAAGTACTGTGAGGCGCGGTAGGACCCTTACCTCCGACGACGGAAACTTGTCTGTTTCAGAAAAGTCAGGAAAGTACAGTTATGGTTCCCGAAATCGTTATTTTTTCTCATTAATGCCCGGGGACTAGCATTTTCGCTTCTATCGACAATATTTGGATTACGTTTAATCCTCATTCGCTTTCTTGTGGAAAACTAAGGGCTACAGGTAGCCTAGTTTTGAATAAGAAAATTTCTGTTTATCCCTAACCTTATCCCTTTAGTGCTTATTGTAGCCGACACCTTCGGCATATCCAGTCAATTTTGACGTCAAAATAATTTAACGCATTTTATAAGAATGCAGTCTTGTTAACTAGAAAAAAAAACTCTCCCAATAATATTCATTTCATCATCCCCGGAAGAGGAAGAAGGGGCAAATTCTGGGACGAAAGTGTTTTTTAGCTGACGTTTCAGAAGCTTTCTCGCCTCCATCATCAGAGCGTGGTGACTGTTCACTTGCTGGTGTCAGTAAGTGTGTCGAACTGCTAGCCTGATTCCCGATGCCCGCGTGTCAATCGATTGTACCGATCGATTTTTGATGGCTGTTTGAATTGCTCACGCGCTCGCGGGCGCCTCCATGAGGTGTGTTAAGTCATTTGTGTGCCTCCTGAGCGTTTCCACCTTCTTATTCGCTCGCGGCTGCCGGCTGTCGGCCCTGCGTATCTTCCTCCGCCTGACCTATTGCTCCGTTTTGAACAGATGTTAGCCCTCTGCGGAGCGCTTGGTAGGCGGAATGAAGGTTTATGTGACCAATGAAAGTTAATATGACAGCCCCAGCTTCTTGTCACAAACAAGACAACGGCAAAATCACTGGGACAGCATGCGTATTTATCTGAGCTCAATCTGGACTCAATCTATCACGAATTCTACCTCCTCCGCTCTTAGGCTCATTCATCATTTTTTCTCGTAGCTGGAATACAAAACGGGTAAACTCTTGCTGTACACTCATGGCCTTTGAAGATGGCCTTCTATGCGAGTCCGAAAGCTCAAACAAATACAACTGCTGTCCCAGCGGTCGCGCCGTTGTCTGTCCTGCAATAAAGTGCGGGTTTCGCTTGTGTGCAGGGAAGCTAGATTGAGATTGTAACGTTCTCAATCAGAAATCGGGTTTCCTTCCGCTCACAGAGCAACATTCTTTTGAAAAAGGTTTTATTTATACGTAGTTAACGAATGACCTGAGAGAAGTATTCTGAGAACAATACAGTGCATGGCCTAATTCATACAAAGACATAAAGAAAATCGACGTTAGCAAGTTAGCGTATATTTAGTCATGCAATTTCAACTTTATGCGCAGAAGGCTTTCTAGCGAATAAAAACTGCACGTTTAGTGCATTTTGTTTAAGAAAAACTGATAGAATTGTGGCAATGTCTAAAATTGCCCGATGTCAAATGATTTCCTATACAAAACACCGTGAAATTGAAAGACAAATGTTGAATACATCCTATAAAGAACTGCAAAATATTATCTTAAAAAAAGGTTGAGGAATCGCAACTTTTTTAGAAAGCAAGGATATACTTCAGTACTAAATATTATGTTTTGCAATTTTTGCGTTTTCTGTTACAAAGGGAAGTAAATAACCTGTTCGGCCGTATTGTGTTTTCCTGTGCTGAATATTGGGGACAGTAAACTAAAATGCGTTTATCTTACCGTGTGCATGGACACCCAAAACTATATTGTTAAAGTTAAAACATGCGGCCATGTATTTTATTTTTTCCGGTAAGAAGACATTCAGAAACAAAAGGAATTAAAGCTAAAACAATTTTGCATTTGCATTTGAAGTTGTATTTGCATTCGCCTATACGTAATCTAAAAAGGGGACTAACGGTAATTCGATAGGATGAAAAAATTGTCAATACTTTTTAAATTTCAGCTATAGCTTTATCATTAATTGTCTGGATGATCGGAAAACTGGCGGAAGATCCCAATTTTCGTTATGATGTTATCAACAAAAAGGTAGAATACGAAAATGTTTGTCTACTGAATATCCAAGTTAAGCAACTATTTTACCTAGAATATGCTTTAACTTAATCTTAAGCTTATAATATACCTTTATGGTTTATCTTCTTTTTTCGGCGATGAGTTTTTTGTTTTGCGGAGTCTACAAGTATGCTCCAACCGATCATCTTACGACAATTATTATCCAAATGTTAGGTTTTTAGTAAGTGCCTTTAATCAAATTTTTATTTTAAAATTGCTAAAAAGCGCAAAAAGTCAGGAACTCGTGAAGTAGTCGTGGGACTTATAAGGACGAAATGAACATAATTGTAATTCAATACCAAAAAAATGAGTGAAGAAATTTGAAGAAGGGAAATGTATTTTAATGTACACAAAACGATATGGTTATGATTTAGCGTAACGATTTTATTTACATTTATGGGTCATAGTCGCAGCCATATGTCATTTTTTCAGGCTTTGAGCCTTCTATAAAATTTAAACTTCTAATAATTTTACATAGTTTCTCTGAGTTTTAAATTTGTCTAATGTTATTCCTTGTCATTTTAAAGTTGTTGGAAAGGCGTTGATGCCACGCGGGGAGTGATTATCAATCATTCATATATTTTGGAATTTTGCATAAGATAGATTTTATACAGTACTTATCTGAAAATAGGATGAGCTAATAGGATCAGCCAGAAAACTCAATACTTAGTCAATGTAGTTTTGGAGTGTTAACTTCCAGATTGGCAAATAGTTGCTTCTCCTTACCATAATTATTTTAACCTATAATTTAACCTCCAATTTTCGAGTATGCTGAATTTGAACTGACGATTGCGTTCTTTCTTTACTCAAAGCCCTAATTTCAGACACTATATGTTAGCGCGAACCAGCTGGTTAGATTAACTCTGCGCTCGATGGACGTAGTCCTCACGCGTAAGAACACAAATATTAGAAGAATCTTACAACGCATTTCGGCTGAAACTTCTCTGTGTAGCACGGCTCACAATATTGGCCAGCATTTTTGGAACGGAAATTTACACCGACCAGCTGTTTTTTGCACTGGGTGCATAAAAAACAATCCGTGTGCATCCTCATTCCAGCCGCAGTGACGATTTTTCCCTCTTCTATTGGCTTAGAGCATTTTCCACAGCTAGCCATTTTATCTACACAAGAAAGAACAAAATACAGTTTACAATAGTATATAGTATAGAAAATAAAATACAGTATACAATAGTATATGAGAGAATACTAAAATCTGCCTACAACATCTATTAGTTCTGTCAATTTAAACATAAATGGACCCAAAATATTATTATCCTAGCCCATCCACCGAAGGAAAAATGCACGAAATAGAACTTACTTCCAAAACAAGAGAGCAAGAGCCTTAAACGTTTCTGTCGGAGTACAATAATAAAGTAATTGGCATTTTTAACTAAGAGTAAGTTAACACGCTTACATCAACTTACTCCGCTAATATGTCCTTTACCGTTTTCTAAATGCCGAGGAATGGGTACGGTATGGCCCAAGAACCGTGCAATTTTGACATAAAAATTGATTTGGTAGTTAGGCATATATTTGATCATGTTATTATTATTCGCTGTGTGGATTTAATCCCGGGAAAGTCTTTTAGTAAGGATAATCGTCCTTGTAGTTAAGTTTATTCATTGAGTTTATATGCATTAATGTTGGCGAAATTGGAAGTATTAATATGCATTATTCTACAGAAGACTTCAAAAATAAGTAAAAAAGCATAAAATAGGTCCCCTTCAGAAGATCAAAAATTTAATCGAAATTTTTCACATGCAAGTACAGCCAAGTGCGGCCAAGTGAGGCCAAGTTCAGAAAGAAGAAATGATTTATGTTTAAAAAATATACTTAGTTAAGCTTTGAAGTGTTTTTCACAAAAAACAGTAATAAAAATGTTTTGGTTGCAGGATGCTTTACCGTATCTCCTACATGGAAAAAAGAAACGTGTCCATAAATGCTACCGTTAAGGTAATGTAAAATATACCTTATTAAATGTGTGTCATGTAGAAATCTACTTTCTTAGACTATACGTTCCGCTTATGCGTTAGTAAGAAACGGAACAGACAGATGAATAATAATTCCTGCAAAAATGGCCACATATTTAACCACTCTTTATTGCATTCTGAAGCTTATAACAAATCCTGGAAGTAATCCGCTATCTTGGAAAATAATTCATTATAACAAAAAAAGGAAGTTCTTTCATTGCAATCCAAATTAAATAGTTTTTCTTCACGTTAATTAAAAAACTTGTCAAAAGTCTTCAATTGCCTTTTATCATTGCCTTAAAAAAGGTAATATACACAGAAATTCGTCAGATGACTATCTAATTAAAGCATTTTTATCGAGGAAGCCTATTATAGAAAGGTGTTTTTACTAAGCTTTAGAATTACAAAAGCTGAATTAAGTTGTGGACGTTTTTATGCTCGACAATTTCGTTTGCTGTTTGAGGCATTTCTAAATATGATCCATATGGGCTTCTTCATAAGAACTAATTTCCAGAGAACTTCTTTTTCTGTAAAAACTCTTTATGTTTTGTCTTATTTTGAAGGTTTTGATGTAAACGTCGAACAGAAGACCAATTCATGGATGAATGCGTGACAAAATTGAAAACGTTGGAAATAACGCCAAAAGTTAAAGGACAACAGTTAATAAATATTTGTCCATTAATGGTAGTGTGCATAAAAAATTGACTAAAAAAAGTTATTTTTATATAACAAAAGTGGTTACGTTAAATTTTTAACTCATGAAGAGATTTAGATTTATTATTTAAATTTATAGTCCTTCAATTTTCCGGAACTCGGGGATTATAGAGAAAATTTTAGTTTTCTTTTTAAACTCTTAGTACTTCTTATACGTCTTTTAAGTTTTAAATTTGTCTAATGTTGTTCATTAGTATTTCTAAGTTTTCGTAAATGCGTTCACACTGGTATGCAAGTAATGATCAAACATTAACAAATGTATGCATGTTGCACTATTTTGGGCCATACTGTATATTTCTGTGACTGCTGAAGACGATAGGTCAGTTCTGACTGCGAATTTTATATTATTTTGCTTCGAAAGCACAGTATATGTCATTTTGTATTTTTACAATACGGATACGTTATAATGTGCAACAAGCTGCGGCTGGAATTCTTTGTCGGTTGAATTGGCTTAGGCTGAAGCAACCCTGCAAATATACTTTTTTTCTTTTAATCAGCATTCAGCTAAAGGAGATTTTTTATATTTGTGCAGTGAACGATATAAATACCACCCATAAAAAACTAAGCTACGGGTTAACCTGTTAGGTGTGCATGACCCTGGGATTGGATAAGAACAGACAATACACTTTTCTTTGCATGACATAAAAAATTTAGAAAATTATGATGCATAAGAGGGTTACCATCTTATCGCAGACTTAGGCACCACCTACCGTTTGTCTTTGTCAACTCGGACTGCCGCTTTTAG